TTGCTTATTAAACCACTGCTTGCCAAGGCTAAGTCAACTGCGGCAGCGTCTGAATCAGCAGAGCAACCGCTTCAAAGTAACCTAAAAGAGGGAGAATTTCAGCCCGTGCCTATATTTCAAACAAACTTGCATTTTGGTGAGGGTCATATAAGCTATAGCGAGGAAGCTAAAGAAATAAAAGAAAGTTAGTATTTTCTGTAGGGTCAAATCTTTAAAAATTGTTATATCTTAATTAAGATCAAACTTAGGTAACCAAACAAGGGCGCTAGGTCTTCATATATAGCCAATTTTTAGAAAAATTGTGAACAGTTAAAGAAAGGTAGATTCGATTGCGGGATGTGGTAGATAGTTATAATAATGAGTTCCAACTGTTTAATCTATAAGCGTAAATGGTGGAAATATCAATTATGAATTTATACGATATAAAGACGCTTATTAAATTATTAACTTAGTTATTAAAAACTTGTAATCGTATGGAATATTGAATAAAAGGCTGCACCTTTATCTGTAGCCCAGTATTTACCCACAATGCAATATACGAAGTATAGACGGTTTAAAATTTGTATGCTTATTTTTCGGTAAACATAGCTTAAAGTGGATCATTGCAAGGCGAATTCATATATGAATTTGCCTTGATTGGATAGTTTTTACTTCATTCTTCTACACTTTGCGACGTCAACTACAAACATTTATGCGCAAATTTACACCACAGCAAAAATAATTTTCCAAGACCATAACTATCGCAGGTCAAAGAAGATAAACTCTATAGAGGAACTAAAAAGAAAATTTTAGAAAAAAATCAGTTAGATGAACCTACCTTTTATTAGGGTTCAATAATTTTGTACCTCTACCGGCGAACCCATAAACTCAGGCTCATTTAGCAAAGCCATACTAAGTGGTGATTCATTACATAACTGATTGTTGATATTGGTCAAACTTGTTAACAAATAAACACTAAAGTATAGATACTTTGTATACACATCGAGAGGAGACCTTTGCAAACAGATTGGGAAGCTCGCTAATTGCCAACTTATTAACGCTTTTTATAGAAGGGAAAATCGCGATAAATACAAATGTATTTTTTATATCTAAAATTAGGTCAAAATAAAACTTCAATTGTATTTTATTGTACAAAATCGGACGTCTACCTAATTGCAGTACATCTAAATAAAAATTATATCAATCTTACCATTTATCGAACCAAACCGCATCATAATTCCATCGAATGCTTTTCCGTTTTATGCATCACATTCGTTTTAATTAGCACAAATTATTAAAAGGTTAACAATTTCAGTAAACACGACAGTGTACAATATTTCTCACTTCACACTGGTTTTATTTGTTTTTCCATTTTCAATTGCGCGTTTAAACTTTCTGTTTATGTATAAAAGCCACTAGTACACTGGTTACAAAAATAGTGTCCGTTAATATTTCGAAGGTAACAGTGAAGGATACAAGACGATGCGCAAATTCGTAAGTAAAAAAATTTACTCGCTTAAATCAAAATTAATAACATTTCTTTTAGATTATATTAGCCAGTTTAGTGGCATGCTGTGTGGCAGCTCCAACACTCCAGCAAACATCAAAAGAACAACAAGATCACAGTGTACTCCTACAGCGTCCCAGTCCCATCAATCCTGATGTACCTAGTGACCCTAAGCCACCTGAGCAAATTATTAAGATCACCGATCCAAAGGAGATTGTGAAACATAAGCGTGAAGCTGATGATGATCCATATAATCACATTTCACGGTTTGCGCCAACTGCGCATCCCACACGACAGGCGGAGAAGCAACACTCACACGAATCCGAGGAGAAACATCTTGTAGAAGCTGATCCTACTCATCATCGCGAAAAGCGAGAGAAACAACAAATTAAAGATACAAGAAAATCAGAAAATGCACCAGCTCCGCCAGCACCTGCAAACAAGGCAGCAGTGAAAAAAGATAGTCCGAAGCGTCCACGTGGCCAAAATGGACCAACCAAATCCATTGTACCAACACCAGAACCAGCACGTGATTTACCAAAGCACCGCCACCGCCGTCAAGTGGACCCACATCTACTAGGTGCATCTACAGTTGGAGTGACTCCACTCATTTATCAAGATGATGATAAAAAGTTGGACGAAGCTGAGGCGCAGCATGAAGTTAAATCTTCTGAAGAATCAACAGAATCCACAGCCAAACCTGCTACCCATGAGTCAACTCAAGTTAAACGAGATATACCAGTGCCTTTAGTGCCGAAATACCATCATCCTGAGGAATCGCCAAATAGTAAAAACCAAGAAGTAGAAGCAGTGAAAAATAACGAACACCATCCAAATGATGAAGACAGTAAATCGCACGAAAGTGACGAAAGCGATGAAGACTCTAAAGAAAAGAAGCCAGCGCCAGCTATTCAAAATCACCAGCCGATCAATCAGGCAGGGCAACCACTACCTGCACAGCAGCATCAAATTCAAATACCTGCACAACCCTCGCATCCAGATATTGAAAATAATAAGCCTATTGAAGTGCACAATAATGGTGAACCGTTAGAAGTGCGCCCACACGTTGGACAGCAGCATCAAACTCAAACATCAGCACAGCCCTCGCATGCAGTAGAGCAAAATGATAAACCAGAGCCAGATAATCCCCAACATGCACAACAACATCAGCATACGGAAGATCCGGCAACGGAGCAAAATAAACCTCATGAAGTTCACAATAATGAATCTGTCTTAGAGCAGTTGGCCGGCATTAAACCAACTCAGATTATAAACTATGAAACACCGGCTAGCGAGATTACTGTTCCTATTAAACATCCTGTACCTGTTGCTGAGTTATTTTCGAGGTAAATATGTATACATTTAATATTAGTATATACTAAGTATGTGTACCTATATGCAAATTCTTAATAACATTTTCATATCCATTACAGGCCAAAGCAATAGTTGGACTTAGTGCACTCACTTGAATCACTGCTGAGAAAACTGTCTTAAACATTTTCACTATTTTACATTCACTTTACACCTTCATATGTATAAAACTTTTATTTGAACATTTAACAACAACGGATTTTTATTATTATTACGAAAGCTGTTAATTATACAACCGCGCGAAGACAAATTACTAAATTTTCACTTCCGCTATATTCCGTTATTTCGATAACACTTGCTTGCAATGCGTGTGCCTGTATGTACACATGTAGATATGTATGTATAGATGCATGCATACATTAGGTTTGTTCCACACGAGCCCGCGGGATCCCGTGGGTGCCCAAAAAAGGCCAGAAAGCGTTCCTCACGCTAGAAAAATGGGTAATACCTGGTAATAGCATGGTCGGACCGACATGTTCGGACCACTTTTGGATCGTAAATGACATTTATTAAAATTCGTAGAATTTTTGTAAATCTTCTACAAAGTTTGAAATTTTGATTTACATGCTTTTTATTAGATAGTAATTTATATTTTCATAAAAAAATAATAAACATTTGTTAAAAAAAGAAAAGTAGCCCAAACTTGCTAAAATGTCTTTTCCCTATTTACATTCTCGTCATCGTATATGTTGTGTGTATAGGCAGATTTTTGCGATCATTATTCATGTTTTTTTCTCTTTGTTTTGTCTTAAATAAAATGTATTGAAACATTGTTTGTTTTTTATTATAAAAACAAAATTGTATGTTCGGATTTAATGCTTAAACCATGTTCGGACCGACATCAAAAACATGTTTTCGCTGCTATAACTAGTTTTCGACCTAAAACTTGTGTTTTCGTCCATGTAAAATCTGTCTAACGAAAATCAGTTTTCGCTGGAAACTACTTGAAAACTCACGTTCCACGTATTCTAGTTTTTTTCGATTATTTATCGAAATCGAAGTAATATTTTAACATCTCTAATACGCTAGTTGGGACACGATTGTGAGAAATTAAAATTGCGCCCATCGCGGTCATCAGAGAATCAGTTTTGAGCGTGACGTCATCTTGGTGCAATTGTTGATTGAGAGCATACGAAAAAATCAAATAACAATTTTAATATTTGTGCGTGATTTTAAACAATTATTGAGACATTACAAAACAAAATGAAGTGTACAGTGGCAAAGTGTAATAGTGAAAACAAAAGGAAACCGTGCGATATAAGTTTTGTTTCCTACGGATGCAAACTTCCGGAAAAAGTGGAAGCAGTTCTGCCGGCGAGCATATGCATTAAACACCAAATCGAGCTATGTGCTATGTGTGTGAGCTATGAGCATCTACATGGAACCATGATAAAAATATAGTAAGGTAGAACCGCTGAGAGTCACTTTTAAAATTCTTGACGTTTCCAAACAATTTAATTTTTAAATTTACTCACAAACTCACACACACATTTTCATTTTCAATCTCAAGCAACAACAATTTCGTACAATTTCAATTTTTTATTTTCACTTTTATATGATTTTAAAATGTTGGCAAACTTCAAAAAAAAATCATGGCCGACAAATTGAGAGAACGGTTATACCTTGCTATGTTTTTATCATGCATGGAACTATGTTGGCCTTTCCTTGGTGAATTCGAGTAGGTATATTTCAATGGAGAATGTAGACAGTTGCTGGTTTAGTTTGCTGACAATGAGAAACATAAAATGCTGTTTCTACAGTAAATACATACAGTCGCTCACAGAAGTATTCGTCATTTAGTTTTTGGAACAAGTGCAGTATAGCATCAAAAAAAGGGGGCGTGGTCAACCCCATTTTACTGAATTGAAAGGTGTAAACCATTTTTGCTGGAAATTAATAGGGGTGGAGCTAGAGCATGATCCAACTACATAAAATCTAACAAGATGAAGGAAAAGAAAAAAGTAATTTTCTGGCTGACGTTTGTAATTTCGGCGCCATGTTATTTTCTTCGAAAAGTAAACAAAGAATATGAAGACGAAGCATAAAGAAAAAAATTAAGGCAATTTGCACGCAGTTTGTGCTAACTAACTCTCCTTTTGGTGTGCACCAACTGATGTAGCCTTGAGAAAGGATGAGGTAACTAGAACTCCCTTTCTGTGTGGTAAACCTGGGGCTGCCACCCCAGTGTTGTCTATTATGGTTACTGGGTGTTTTATAAAAATTTCTAACATTTCATTTTAAATAAAATATCGTTTCATATCAAAAATCGTCACAGGCAATAATTTATAAAGTTGTTTATGTCACTGTCAGCGGATGTGCTTAAACTAAACTAAATAAAACTATACATCAATTTAAAGGTATTTCTCTGCTCTTTCTAATAATAAACACATCGCTTAATATAGTTAATAACGTATTTTTCTTAGAAAACGTACATTTTTATTAAAAATAGTTATACTTGTTTTTCTCGAAATATGTATGTAAGATATATAAAAATATGCATATCAAATAAAAGGTCAATCAATTACCTTTCCAACCATATCCACATTTTGAAATCGGTGCAATAGCTTTCGAAACATAAGCTTTTGAAAATATTGAAAATTCCACCTCTATCCCCCTCTAGCTCCGCCCCTATTAATTTCCAGCAAAAATGGTTTACACCTTTTAAATCAGTAGAAAGGAGCGGACCACGCCCACTTTTAAATTTGGTTTTATCTCAACGGCCGCTATACTGCACTTATGCCAAAACCATATAAATGATTCTTGCAAACTTTCATAAAAATAAATCAAACATAAACAAACTTCTATCAAAACTTCTAACTTTTTATTCAGAAATTGTATGAAGTTTCGTAGCCCGTTCCATTTTAGTATAACATGCATAGGCATGAACAAAATCTATTTTTATATGGAAGAAAATGCGCAACATCATCGACAAAAAAAATCTAAAAAATCAGCAGTAACTTTTAGCTGCATGAAACTTGCCCTTAGTATACTAAAATTGAATGCGCTACAAAACCGCATACCAAAAGTTTTTCTAAAAATTCTGAATAAAAAGTTTGAAATTATGAAAATTTTATTAAGTCTAATTTATTTTTATGAATTTTGTACGAAGTTTTCAAGAATCATTTATATGGTTTTTGTTATAGAATGAGTTATATTTTAAATGAAAATTAGATTTAGAATGGAAAACATTTGGAATATTGTGAAAAAACTAAATTACGAATACTTCTGTGAGTGACTGTACATAAACTTCACTACCTACTTAATTAATTAAGTAATTATTTTTGTTAGTACCTGATTCTTTTTAGTCCTGGTGTAAGGCAATGCACCAGTGGATAAAGTCGCCAGTCGCTGATTCATGCGGCATCTTACCGCGCTGTTACTTAGCTAATATAAAACCGTGGCCAACTTTTAATACAGTTAAAAGATCAGCTTAAATAATGTTTTACTTATATAAAATATTTGTTTGCGAAGAAGCCATACTCACACATCCTCTCGGATATGGTACAAAAGTCGTCAAATCAAAGCTGTGGAGTTTGTGGTGGTTGTATACCGTCCACAAATATAAATATGCAGTCTGCACGACTTTTTACAATGTATGCTTTGTGGCGAGTCCGAATTCACTTTACTGCACACTTTCCTTTACGTCTAAATGAAATTCCAAACATTGTTAATACATGAATTTTTTCAACATCCGGTACTTACATAAAGGGCTACATGTCCACAATTATTGCTACCTGTTCCTAATTAATTAATCTTTGTACATTTATTGATTTCTGCAAAATTGGACCATTTAATATTATTATTAACACATTTTTCTGCATTGTTTACAAATTTTCCTATGCGTTTTGGCATTTCTCTCTCGCAATTGCACCAAGATGATGTCACGCAAAAATTACGCTCAAAAATCCTCTCTCATGGGCACAATCTTGTATTCTATCATTCTTGTAGTTGGGATTTATTGTCAATTGGCTAGCCAAATTAAAATATGAACTAGAGAAAAAGGTTGCTAATGATAAGGAAATGATAGACAAAGATTTTGATTTTGTTTTTTCGTAGCAAAATGTCATCGAAAACACTAACAGCCGGTGCGAACAGCTTTCAGCTCACAATCCCAAAACTCGTTTCAAAGTGTTTTCGCTCTCGGTCCGAATATGGTATTAGAAATGCCCCGATTTTTGTCCACAGAAATCTGGTCATCGTATATGGGGTTGTTTGTATGTACTAGCTATTGCACAACTATTGCGCTAAAATAAAAAAGCTGCTTAATATTTTTTCATTAATTCAGATTGAAAAGTTGGAAATTTTTAGGAATGCTTGCTGACTTGTGTTTCAAAATATTGCACACAATTTGAAATTGGATTTGAATGGTTTTTGTTAAAGATTTGGAGCATCGTTTTGCAGTTCGCTAGTATATCGTTTTATGGAGAGTCGCTTTTGCGACCCGCCGGCGAACTGTGCTTTTCATCCGACGGCGAGTTCGCCGGCGAGTCGTGGGCGAACGTCTCCAGCGAACAAATTGTTCGAAGTCGTTTAGCAAATTGGGTAGATTTGTATGTGTAGAATTTTTTTTTGCCGGAAACCGCAAATGGCGGTATCCGTGATTTGAAATCAAGGGCATGTTGTTGTTGTCATCTTATTCTATTTTGGAGCCCTGCATTGCCGACGTTGCTTCAGCTGAAAAAAATGAACCCCGTAATTTTTTTGGTGGCACCCTGTGAAATCGCTCAGATGTCAAACAAGCTGTGTTGTTGATGTTTTTTCTTTCTAGTTATCAAATTGTACGTGTCTTTTGTTTTTTCACTTTTTCATCAATTAAAATTACAAATATGATAAAATATGTTTTATTATTGTTAGGAATATGTGCTGTAAGTACTACAAATTTGATTTTCGTAAATGTACATATATTTTTCATCATATATGTATATTGATTACAGTGCAGCATATTAGCTGAGTTCACTTCGCAAGATTGTCGAGAGCTAGGATTTATCAAGGCGCAGCTGATGTGCTCGTCCTGTGATAAATTAAATGATTTTGGCTTGGATGCGTTAAAGTAAGTATAATTTCGCTACATATACTGTTAAACTACGATATCGTTAACCTGCTGTGTTCACAGGCCACATTGTCAGGAGTGCTGCACGCCAGATAAATTGCCGGCTGTACAGCGGCTTTGGCCGAAAGCCATACTAGAAGTGTGTACGTGCAAATTCCGCGCTTATCCACAAATAGCAGCATTCATAAAAAGTGGCAGACCAGCGAAATATTCAAATTTACAAATTAAATACATGCGTGGCCTTGATCCGATTGTGAAGTTGCTGGACGCGAAAGGCAATGTGCAAGAGACACTTTCGATAACCAAGTGGAACACGGATACGGTTGATGAATTCTTCGAAACGCATCTAGAGAAACCGACAGGAAAGAAGAGCGCCAAGATTGCCTATAGCGTGGTGGAAGAGGAAGATAGTGATTTTCTTGAAACAAACCGAATTTAATGAAATATAGTATTCTTCGTTAGTAAATTTTTGTAAAGCTATTTTGGGTTAATTAAGTAAATTGTATTTATTTGAGTAGCAAACTGTTTTAATTTCATTTAATTCAGGCAATAGTTGCATATTATGTATTTAGAAATATTACAAGTTTAATTGTAGATACATATAAGTACAAAAATTGTAGAAAACGCGTAGCTGGATGTAAGAAGACGTATATATGTTTTAATTCCTGTGTCATTTGTAAAACTACCTCACCTTAATATGCTGTTATCCAAAATTTATACCAATGCCACGCCTTTTTGGTTTTCAAAAATATTGAAGTGATACTGACGTTTTAGCATTGCGTACAATGCCCCGAAGAAGTCGTTCATTTGTTCATTTGCATTACTTTTATTACACGAAAAGCCAATAAAACACGAAATCAAAGCCAAAAACTTGTGATAGTTCTTTAAAAATGTGGGTAACATATATCTAAGGACGATACATTTTGGCTGCGTTTCTTTATACATTCCAGATAATACCATTTCACAGCCAGAGTAAACAGAATGCTTTTGAAATATACGTTAACATATCATCAAAAACGTTCTAAAGTATAAGTAAACAAAAAAGTTTATTATAATCGGTCAGAATGAATACAGAAATGCAGCCTTGACGCGTTTTGACCATTATTCTTTTGTTTGTTTAATGTTTATTATTATTTTTGGCTTTTATAAAAATGCAGTTCAATATCTAACAAAAAAGATGTACATATCGTTACCTTAGAAAGGCCATGTCTAATATTTTTGTTTCTTCACAGAGTTGTTATATAACTTTATAAAACCTTGAGTTCTTCAGTAGAATTGCCTTCAAGACATTGGCTTTAAATAAACACTGCAAGTAGTATTTGATGTACAATCTATTATGTCCTTTTCAAGTAATGTACCAATCTTTGTGCAACACTGAATTTAGAAAAAAAGAATAGTTAGGGCATTTTTAAGGTAACGATAGGTATGTACATAAATTTAATTTTTTGAAGACATAAAGAATAAAATGTATGTATGTAGGTATGTACATATTTACACCTATGTACTTATTAATGTACATAGATATTAAATAAAATATATCGCTACCTAAAGGTGAAAGGTGCCAAGTCCATTATTTTCAAAATTTAGTTTTTTAATGTAGAATGGCAGGTAATACAAAACTACATCGATTTCTAGTCCCTCCTGAGCAATTGCAAAACATGGACTTGGCACCTTTTTGCCCTTAGGTGACGATATACACATGTACATATATAGACAAACTTTGTATGCTCGCACAAAACATTCCACCTATCTATGTATGTACATATGGCGTGCATACCTCTGTATATATGTATGTATGTACATTCATTATAAATCAATCGGGGGGCTTATCAGACATTCAAGCAGATAGTCTTTTATTTTTCAAAAGGAGGCAGGCCTTGCTTTGTGGCGTTGCACCCCACATGGCGACGCAAATGCACTCGGATCATTTGATTTGCGTGGAATAATAATCTGCTGATTTTTTGCCGCTAATGTTTTTAAGCAAATACATACTTATATGTGTGCGTGTGTTCATATTAACGCAAAAATATGGTATTTGGTGTTAATGCTCGTATATGTAACCGCGTCACCCTCCAAAGGTGTCGCTTATCTGCATACTAATATTCGGTTGCTTTTCACACTGCATACATACATACAATATCTATATAATTTTAGCAAGAAAAACTAGCTGTTTGATGTTTAAATATTTGCTAAGTATGGTTTAGAAAGAATTTCCGCTTTTTACAACAACCTTAAATACCCAATAGTAAAATCCACTCGTTCATAGCTTATACATAAGTGATCAGTGTGAGTGTGCATTGATTAGCTCTACTTTTTCGTATATTTGCTAAGTTTTTTGCGTAGTTGGTTTGTATGAATTTCCATCGACGACTGCCTTTGAACTCGAAAAAAATAAGGAAATTAAAAGTAACTGATTTTCCGCCACAATTCGACTTTTATTTACTTAAAATGTATATTCGACATAAAACTGGCATGTATGCTCATTAGGGTGATCTAAGAAAAATAAAGTCTGAATTTTAATGCTCTCACCCAATAGGATTATTCTATACCAAAAAAAAATACCCCTCTTTTTTTTTGAAATCAAAACATATTCAGAGGTCAAACAAAAAAACAACTTTTCGTAGGATAGAATTCTTGAAAATCAATATTTTTCAATCTTTGTATCTCTCCAGGAGACTTTCAATAATAATACCCAATTGTTTACTTAACCATTTGCTAATATCAATCATTTTTTATAGGTCCCCCAAAAACCACATAAAATGCAATGGAGACCCATAAAAATTCGTTAGTATTGAAACAAAGGCAAAATAAAAATTTGATTTCGAAAAAAACTGGGGTATATT